AATATACCTGAACTGTCCCAGAAAAACAAAACAACCATCTCTCCATCATCCTCTACTCCAGAGCAGCATCTCCTCGCTGGGACCGGGGGGGGGGTCGGGTCACTCCCACTTCCAAGGGGGGCCGCTAACCTTGGGGTTGGGGGAGGGAGCGGAGGCCAGGAGGTGGCTGGGAAGGGGTGAGCTGAACCCGTGGTCCGCCTCCATGAAGGGAATTTAATTAGCCTGCCAGAGCGCAGGGCTGGAAAGGAGGTGTCTCTGTTGCTGCAATCTAATTGAATTGGCTCCACTTAGGCTGGCTACTCACCGCCTATCAGGGAGTCAGCCCGGGCCATCTTAGAGGTGGGGGCGGGCGGAGGGAAGGAGCAGCCAGGAAGACAGAATTCAAAGGGGGGAGGGTAGAGAATGCCAGTCCCGCTGCCATAGGTAGAGACAGCCGAAGGGGGGGGCGCACAAAAGCTGCAGGGGGATCTCTTTATTAAGGGCAGTTGAGAATAAAGAGGGAAGTCTGCCCCATATCCAAGCTCCAGAGAGCTTTGGGGAACCACGTCCTGTGAGAGGAGGAGGCGGGAGGCAGCTGGGGCGCCCTGGCACCGGTTCAGCAGCCACGGCTAGATCCTCAGCCTCTCTAAGTCGTAGCTCCGCTCCCAGCCGCCCCCGCCTCTCCAGATCAGCCCCGTCCCTCTAATCAAAGGAAGAGACGACCCCCCCCAATCCCCAACACAAAAAGCCACGAAACATTACCGCGAAGCCTCCACGCCCCAGGGAGCCCAGCCGGGCACCCAACACCTGCCATTGGGGCACGCAGCCGCCGCCCGTGCCCTCCTGCCGGCTGAGCAAACTTTTATTTCGGCAGCTAAGGAAGGAGTCTGCCTGCCCCTGCCGCCGCCGCCTCCTCCTCCTCCTTCTCGACTCCGCTCCCAGCCCAAAGGGAAGGGAGGCCGGGGAGCAAGCGAGACTCCTCCGCCTCGGGACTAACCCTCCAGCCATCCCCACCCCCCACCCCCGGTTCTCCCGCGTCCCCTCCACCCGCACGCACTCCCCCACACGTACACAGACAGCGGCTCCCTCTCCTCCGGACCGCGGAGCCTTCCACGAGCAGGCTCCAGATCCGAGTCCCAATGCCCGCCGAATAGGGGCAGGAGCAGGGCCGCCCGCCTCGGAGTGCTCACCCAGGAGCCGGGGAGAAGCGTGCCCCTTCTCAGTCCCGTCCGAGCCTCGCCTGCTCTGTGCGGGGTGGTTGGGCGAGGGGCGGATGCGGGGCGGGGCTCGAGGCCCCGGAGATCCCGACCCCCGGCTCGGGGAGAGCACAGCAGAGCGGGGTAGGGTAAGGCAGAGGAGAGCAGAGCAGCGCAGCGAGCCCACACCAGCACCTCCCGAAGCCCCCGGGGCCGCTGTTCCCTCCACCCCCGCGCGCGCCAGGGAGGCGCTTTCGGGGCCGGGGAGGGGCGCACGGGGGACGGATCTGCCCTTTGGTCTCGTTCCCTGCCCGCCCAGCTCTTATCGCCCGCAACACTCTGGGGGAAGTTGCCGAAAGCCGTTTGCGGCTGGCTGCCCGCCCGCCCCCTCCCAGCCTCCCTCCCGCCCCCCTGCCTCTCCCCAGCCATCCAGACCCCGCGAAACCCGAGAACTTGTTGCTGGAAAGGCCCAAAGACCCCCTGCGGGCTCTTGGCAAAGGGGGGGGCACCCCGCCCGGATTGCCCAGCACTCCCTACCCCCGCCACACACACTCTCGCACACAATCCCTCCCGTCCCCAGCTCACCTTTCATGCCAGGGCCCCACAGCTCCGCCTCAGAGCAAGCTGACACATTGTGTAGCCATCATCACCCCACTGTTTGTCTGAACTGCTTGGCTCACCCGGGGCTGCTCCGGCGCGGCTCCTCGGGAGCTGGCCCACTGGGGAGGTGGAGCTTCCGGGGCCCCGGCCAAGAAACACCTGCTGCCGCCGCCGCCACCGCCGAGGCCACACCCAATCCCAACGCCCTCCCCCGCCCGCGCCCCATGCCACTGGCTCATTTCCCTGCTCCTGACCTAAGCCAACAAGAGGTGTCGGGTTTCTCCCGCAAACGCAAACACACACACACACACACACACACACACACACACACACACACACACACACCCACCATGGACACCCTAGTGTATTCCCTCAAAGCACACATTCTCGCCCCCACCCTACCCAACACAGCCCACACAAGCAGGCCTGGCCCAGCATTAACACAGGTGAGCCCAGGACACTCACAGGTAAAGGGGAGGAGCTATGGGGGGGGAAATCATTCTACCACAGCCCACACCCTAGACTGGACATGTGAATATTAAATTTATCAACAACATTAAAAGTCAAGCCCTTGATATGGACATAACCATTTCAACCAAGACTCCTATGTATAGACAGCAATTTGTCTCCTTCACCCCCATCAAAATGACACTGGATTTGCTTCTCTAGGGGAAGGTTACTGACCTTTCTCCTTTACAAACTAAAAAGGCTAACATTTCTAGAGAGATTTAAGGTTTGCAAAGCATTCTAAATACATGATTTCATATGATCTTCACAACAACCCTCCGAAATAGATGTGATTTTATTATCCCTATTTTATGATTCATTAACGTGGGCTCAGAGTAGCAAAGAGATTTGACTAGGATCACTCAGCTATCTGCCTTTGTCTGAAGTAGAATTTGAACTCAGGTCTTCCTGACTCCAAATCCGGTTAGAGTCCCTTCTCACCTTTTAAAACTTTGGGCTTGTCTTTAAGGGGCCATGGGATGCAATATGCAGCTAGGTGGCGCAGTAGATCTGGAGTTGGGCAGACCTGCCTTCAACTGCTTCAGACACTAATAATCACTCAATCGCTTGATGCCTCAGTTTCCCCAGCTGTAAAATGAGAGGACCTTGGAGGTCTTTTTCCAGCTGTATAAATCGATGTCCCTATGAATGTAGAGGAGAAGGAAAACTGGAAGAAGTCTCTGCCCTATTGATGTGATAACATTTTGGGGAATTAGAGTAACAGTCCATTCCGACGGGGTGCGGACATTCGTCTAAAGAAAAGGAGGGTCACCTACTCCAGGTACAAATGAAGCCGACTACAGAAGCCGGAAGGGGAGGAGGAGTTCATTAAATTGACGGGGAGTTTCCAGTCACCAGGAAGGCCTCCTTCCTTCAGAAACTGGCATTGCAGTCTCCCCCTGAGTTGGTCCATTCCTTTCTTCCCGAGTCGGGGATAGGCCCCAGCTCATTATTCCACCCCACCTCACCCAAGCACTTGACACACAGGTATGACTCAGTGAGAGTCTGGAAATTCTTGGGCACCCACAGCCCGCTTGGAAGGGACAGGGCTACAGGTTCTCCCACTCCTACCCCAAGGGCTCAGCCTCCCCCTCACACCCATGCCGCAGGGCCCCTGAGCCAGTCAGGTCCAACCTCAGCTGGGCCAAGCATCCCAGCAAGCCGGGAGGTTAATAGGGCTTGCTTCGCCTGGAGGGATTCCGGGCTGGGTCAGTCTGGCCACAGCAGTTTGAACTCAGCATACAGCCTCCCGCATTCAGAGGACCGAACAGCAAAGGGCCTTGCCTTTGGCGTCGATCTAAGCCAACCCCCTCATTTTACAGATATAGAAACTGAGGCCAAAAGAAAAAAAAATCTGTGTTCAGGGTGGTCATCCCAAGGTTACCAAGAGGCCTATGGTTCAGTCCTCATTCTCCTGCTGTCATGGAGTGTGTGTGTGTGTGTGTGTGTGTGTGTGTGTGAGGGCTAACATGAAAGCATGGTTTTAAACCTCGAGGAAAGAAGACGCCGTTTATGGCTGGGGAGCCCACGGTAGCCTCGTTCTGGTTTTAGCTTTCAGCCCACCGTGCCAACACTGTGCTCCTGCCAGCCCCCAAACCTGCCCTGGGAGATGCCCTGGACTCGTTTGGCAAGTGTGCAAACTACGATCCCCAAGGGCCTCCCAACCGCCCTCCTTCCCTTCCTCCCTCCCGCCCTCCCTCCCACCTCCCACCTCCAGTCCCGGATTGCGAAGGGAAGGGAGGGAACGCTGGGCGCCTGCCATCTCCCATCCATCTGTTCCTGATGACGCTGGCGGGTTTCTGGCACTCCGAGCCCGCGCCAGCGGTGAGCGCAGAACCAGTCTGTCTGCCCCCAGTAGGGTTTGTAAAGAGAAGGGGAGGGGGAACCGGTGGAGGAATACACAGAGGGGACGAACCCTTGGGGAAGGTACCAGGCTCTCCCTGCTCAGGGGACCCACTGACCTTGCCTCTGGAGTGCAGCCATGCCGAGAGAGCGAGTGTAGGGGCAAGATCTGATGCCTTACACAAGGCTTCCCCCTCAGACCACAAACCAAAGGGGAAGCCAGGCAGCGAGGCCAGGGGGGAGGCCGTTACTGGCTCCTACCTGCAGGCGCCAGGGAGCCAACCCAGGCACCAGGCAGGAGGGGCCCCTTCCCATTTACGACTTGCGATCCCTGGCCGGCGCCTCCTTAATGTTTGTCTCTTCCTCTGTTATTAGCCTCTGCGACCAGATGCTCTAATTTACTCACCACCCGGTGTCTTCACACCGAGGACTCCTGTAATTTATACCACCCACAGCCCAGTGGATTCACTCTGGGGGGGGGCGCTGGGGGAGGGGTGGTCCGGCAGCCTGCTACTAAAGCTTTTGACAGCTAGAGACAGGAAGTCACCAGAACCAAAAAGCTGATGGTGTGGGATGGGGGAAGCAAGGAATTTAACAACTGGCCTCTGGGCTGGCCAAAGTCCTGGGGAATCTCTCCTGGATTCCTGCTCTCTACATCTCTAGGGACCTGGGTTACAGAGTTTTGAGGACAGTTGTTCGTCTTTTCATCGTCAAACACTGGGGAAAATAGAGTTCCAGAATGTAACTAGTATTAACTGCCTCCCTTATGTCCATTATTCAGGCAGGGCACAAGCCGACCCAGTTAGTATTCAATGTAGCCAATTACTAAAGCCCTTCCATCACAACACAAAGCAAAATAAAACATGAGATTCTTACCCTCTCTGTACCAGCTAGGCCAACCCTGGGACTGACCTCCTTGGGCGCCAGAAGCAGAAAGATCTCCAGCACAATGTGAAGTGACCACCGGAGCTGCTGTGGAAGTGAGAAGAATGGGTATTTCTGAGGGCAATGAGAAAAGGGGCTTCAGCTGAAGCCTTTTCCCCATGCCTCACCTCTTGGAGGTCACCCTGGATCCTCAAAATCTGTGGCAGTGGTGTGCCATCTCTGACAGGTCTTATCAACCCCAGGAAAGATTTCCAACATGGGTCTATCAGCCATAGTCTGTCCTGGAAGAGCTAGTGTCTTATTACTGGAAGACCAGTCTAATTAAATTTGCTAAGTCACATTATAGGGTCATAGATTTTTGAGCTGGAAAGGACTATCAGGTCCTCCCCATTCATTTTAAGGAGGAGGAAACAGTCATGGAGAAAATAAGTGCCTTGCCCAGGGCCACACAGCTAGTAAGTGTCTGAGGCTGAATTTGCACTCAGGTCCTCCTGACTGCCACTCCATTCCCCCCCCCCTTTTCAGCCACAACTCAAACTATCTTATGTAGGTACAGGGGTCCTGGGCTCTGTACCAATGGAGAGAGAACCCACATCCTTGAAGCATTTAAGTAAAAGGGTTCTGTAGGCAGAGACTGGAAAAAGGAACTCTGAGGTTTGAGACAGGATCCATGGCAGGGCTCCCTCAGGTTCCCCCTCTGTGTGGGGCATGTACCACCTTGCAGTCCAGAATTCAGGCAAGCAGGGAGCACTTAGGCTTGGGTCAAGTGGGCCTTGGGGGAAGCAATGCCCTCAAGGGTCAGTGGTGGAGAACAGTTTGCAAAGTAAATGCAGTCACGACCAGGACCACTAGAGGGCAGCAAAGAGCTGGTTTTCACCTATGCCTCCCAGAGATTCTAACTAACCACCCAGCTGGCAAGCCTGAGATTGATGATACTCGCTGTCACTATACTCGGTCCAAGGAGCGCTTTATAACACCCAAGGAAATTAGTAATCTGGGAGCACGGCCTCCAAGTTTAACAGTGGGAATTGCTCTCCTGCAGCCTGTGTGCTTGCTAACGAGGTTCTGTACTTGACTCCTAATTTCCTGCCTGCTCTGTAGACTCCAACCTCTGCATCTTGCATGGCTCAAGCCTATCCCTGTTTCTCTCCAGCCATGGCCTGCCTCCCTTCCCTCTTCTCCTCCTCAGGTGCCCCCGACCAGCTGTCAGGCACGGCCAAGAAGGTTTCTTTTTCTCATTTCCTCCCTGCTACTTCCCATAACCACCCATTTCCTTCCCAACGTGTCACCTTCTGTTTTTTGCAAGGAAAACTGGCAAGGGAAAAAGAGAGGTGGGGGGGGAATGGGTTAATGGGAAAATGAGACACAGGCACTGAGGTATGTCGTCATGTTTGCATGCTGCTGTGAGCCTGTATGGAGGTATTTCCGAAAAGCTGTGGGTTAAGGGAAGCTTGTCTTGAAATGTATTCACATGATACCAGGATCTCTCTCCCAGAAATAATACCAGCAGAATGAACCAGCATAACCTTGCAAAAGGGTAACCTCAATGTAACCTTGCAAGCTTTCAATGTGTATTGTTTATTTTCTACACCCAGAATACAATTCCTTTCCTCTCTGTGGGCCTAAGTTTCCTCAGAGGTGGATTAGATGATGCCTAAAGCCCTACCAGTTCTAAATCCTAAATTCCATTCTGGCTCTAATCTCCCCAGGCCCATTAAAAGAAAAAAGACCTAATCCAGCCTCACCAAAAACCACCCCCCATCTCTCTCTTTAGAAGCTTTTCATGAGGCTAGTGGCCTAGTGGAAAGAACACTGGGGAGTTAAGAGGCCCGAATTTTAGCCCTGGCCCTGCTGCTATTATTACCCTGAGCAAATAATTTCTGGGTTTCTGCTCTTCATTTCCTCATCTATAAAATAAGGAGCTTAATACTACAAGATCTGATGTTCTCAGCTCTAACATCCCTTCCAAGCCTTGACATCCTATGTTCTAAGGTCCCCTCCAGCTATGATGTTTCCTCCAGGATCACAGATTTTCTACAGAGAGGAACAGGAGAAGCCATCTAAGTCCACCTCCATCCCCTTGGTCTATAGATAAGGAAACAGGCCCAAGAAAGTGAAATGATTTGCCCCAGGTTACACAGGTGCCATCTGGCTCTGAAATCATATGGCATTTATGCCTCCATACACTGCCAATAAAATGACCAGGAGCAGTGATAGAGGGAAAAAAACGAGGGGCTACTAAAGAGCCTGTCCTTAACTTGTTCGGGGGCTAGGGATAGAGGCAGAGGAGGGCAGCTATGTAAGAGGTGAGGAAAAGGAAGGGATATGCCAGGACGGAGACAACCAGAATCGAGATGAGTAGTTGCTGCACAGGGAATTGTTGGGACTGGGCCAATAAGGAAAATTAAGGCTAGCTAGTTGGCAAAATGCATATAGATAAGTGTGCTCGACCTGGAGCCAGGAAGACCTACCCTGTGTCCAAATCTAGCTTCAGATACTATGTGATCCTGGGCAAGTCATTTAGCTTCTATCTGACTCTGCTTCCTCATCTGTAAAACTGGGATAAAAATAGCAGCCACCTGCCAGGATTTAGGGGGAGAGGGGGACAGCTAAGTGGCACAGTGGAGAGGAAAGCAGGCTGGCCCTCGAGTTAGGAAGATCTGTGTTCAAATGTGACTCACTGTGTGATCCTGGGCAAGTCAGTTCACCCTGTTTACCTGACTTTCGTCATCCGTCAAATAAGCTAGAAAAGGAAATGGCAAACCACTAATACCTTCTTTAAGAAAACTCCAAATGGGGGGCAGCTAGGTGACTCAGTAAATAAAGCACGGACCCTGAAGTCAGGAGTACCTGAGTGCAAATCCAGCCTCAGACCAAATACTTGACTTACTAGCTGTGTGACCTTGGGCAAGTCACTTAACCCCAATTGCCTTTAAAAAAGAGAGAGAGAAAACCCCAAATGGAATCGTGAAGAGTCAGACAAGACTGAAAAACTACGAACGATGGCAGATTGTATATATCTCTATGAAGAATAAAGTCTTGGGCTTGGAATTAGAAAAACCTGAGATCAAATTCTGCCTCCTGCTTTCTACTTAGGTGTGTGCTAACCCAGGGCAAGATGCAACCTGTTATAAAGATGACCCCAGACTCAGTTCTGGGTATCTCAAAGACTTTTCATTAAAGAGGGTTGAAGTGCTTCCTTTTGATTCTTATGAGAAGCTGGCACACCTCCTTGGAAGAGGAGAAATTCGAAAGTAAAGAAGCCAGAGCAAGCTTTATAGTTAGTAACTGCCTAACTCCTCCTTTCTGGATCAGGATTGGTCCTAATCCTTCTGGGGTTACAATCTTCCTTATATGCCCCCCCCCACATACACAATGTGCCTAGAATTGTATTGTCACTCCCTACCCCTGGACGAAGAAGTTAGCCCATCTGTGCTGATTTCTTATCTACTTATGTGGAAACTTAACTCTTTCATTTCTCACAATTCTTCCTTGTGCTTGGTTTTACCTATGAAAATGGGGCTATCCTCCTCTTCATCTCTTATCTTCCTTCCTCTAAACCAGGCCTGGTGAAGGGGCAGGAGAGAAGAGGAAGAATCAGTCTCTGGAGGTTAACAGCCACCCAAAAGGGCCTGCCGAGTTTCAGAATTCTCATTTCCCCAGCTAAGCCCTGACGTTTTTCAAGGCTTCTACAAGACGATAAAGACCACTCACCTATCTACATAGATCTCATGGAGATTTCAATTCCACCAGCACTTTATTAAGAGAGGCCTTTCAGGATCTCATCAATTGCTGGTGCCTTCCTCTCCCCAAATTACTTTGCATTTGTTTATAGTCTAGTGGTGGGGAACCTTCGACCTCGAGGCCACACGAGGCCCTCTAGGTCCCCAAGTGCAGCCCTTTGACTTTGACCCTTCATAAAAGGATTTGTTCTGTAAAACTTGGACTCAGTCAAAAGGCCACACCCAAGGACCTAGAAGGCCACAGGTTCTCCACCTCTGGTTTATACAAATCTTATATTTACTTCCCTGTGTATCAGTGTGGAACCCACAATTTCCTAGTGAACAAGGGTTGTTTTCCAGTGGTAAGCACAGGCTAAAGCAGAGGGACAGGTATGCAGTAGGAATTCAAGAACTGCTTGCAGAATCAAAGAAGGAAGACTAAATTAAGTGGGTGATGAATAAATCTGGGATAATAAAACTTGCAAAAGGCCCTCAAAAGTGACCTCCTAGCCTGAGGGCATAAGGCAGTTTCCTAAGAGACAAGGAAGCCATCAATTTCCCACCCAAACTCCCCGACACACCCCAAAGGAATTACAATACTTGTCAAATTCTCCAGTAGGTCTGACCTCGGAGAATAATGGCGTAAACCTTATCATCAGCCTTGGGAAGACCTCTTTCCAGGTCTGGGAAAGTAGCCCCAGGGGTAATGAGGTGAAAGGATCGGTCTAAGCCAAACCTCAGCTCTTCAATTCAAATCAATACAATACAAACAATATTCATTCAGGAGCACAGATTGCGAGCCCGGATAGGATTTCAAAATCCTAGATTAACTCTTTCTTTTTCCAGGAGTCAGAAGGTGAGGCTCAAGGGGGGGTGAGGAATTTGCCCAAGGTTCTGCCAGAAAGTAGATTATCAAAGCTGAGATCTGAATACTCATCTCCACTCCTTCAAAGCTTGGCTAAATCCCACCTACAGCAAGAATCTTTTCCCAATCTTCCTGAATCTAGATGCTTTCCTTCAGGAGCTACCCTCAAATTATTCTGTGTGTATTGTTTGGACAGGTGGTTTGCTCTGTAGTCTTCCTGGTTAGTCTGTAAACCCCTTGAGGGCAGGGACTGGTTTTTGTCTTTGTAACCTCAACGTTCAGCACACATTAGTAGGCAATTAATAAATGTTAGTTGACTGTTAGGAGGCAGCTAGGTGGTTCAGTGGAGAGAGTCAGGAAGTCTGAGTTCAAATCTGACCTCAGATACTTACTTAGCTGTGTGAGCCTGGGCAAGTCACTTAACCTCTATTTGCCTTTATTGAAAGCTGACTCAGTGACCCATTGTTCTCAGACCATCTTGTCAATCAATGTCCCCCAGT